ATTATGATAAATGTATCCTAATCTGTAAAATATGTTAGTCTTCTTCTAACCCTTCAATTAAAGACATACACACACATGTGCTTGAAGCCCACTTTTTTCCCAAGGTCACCTTCCTACCACGAATAACTCAAAGTACTGCAAGCAAAATTGTATGACATGAAATAGTCAATGTAATAAACCTACTTATATTTAGAACTTTAAGATTAATTTAAAAGCAGGGTACTAGGAAAGCAGAATACAATGCAGTTTTTTAAGCTATTTTCGCAGATCTTTTTGTGGCTCACCAAATAACACATGCATTTTATAACCTTTGATCAGCTAGCCTAGAAATGATTAGAGAAATGTTGAAAGAGGAAAATTAGGCTCAACAGTGCAACGTGCTAAATAAATTGACCCATGGGACACCAGTGACCATTCATTTATGGTGAAATTTATACGAGTGGCAAGTGTCTCGTCTTATAGATCTGTACTGCTCCATCTATCAATGCATTCTGCTCAGGAGAACATCCTGTAGCAAATCTTTGTAGTTGCTGTGACGTGGACTGCTTTAGAGATTAGTATTTCCTCATACCCAGATTACCTTGTGCCTTCTGTGCCTTTTCCTGTTCATCTTCAAGAATAAAACGATTAAAAAGAGAGAACTCGTTTCTGTCCATTAACCCTGCAGGTCTCAGTCCTGCGAACGCAAATCCAGATTTAAAGTTTCAGTATAGTTTGTGCGTTGCTAGTAATGGGATGTTTTCCAGTCTGAGTTTGTCAGCAACTGTTATCTTTTGCCTTGGCTGGGTTATATATTACTGGTGAGAATCTTTGCCTGGTACAGTACAGTTCTCTTTGCTTCCCAGGCCAGGAATTTTTCATTGAATAATTTTTAACTAAAGCTTTGGGAGGGGAACTGGGGTCTTTCTACGTTATTTTGCTGCTTAGCCATGTAGAAAGGAAACGTAACCCTTTATTCTCAACAGAGAAAACATATTAAATCACTGCCAAGTAAAAAAAATAAAATAAAAAAAACAGAAACAAAAGAAATTAAGTAAGCCTTACATTAAATTGTATAAATCACTTAATAAATAACTATTAAAATTATAATCACATTGGATCAAAACATTCATCTTTCATTACCCCTTTTTAATTTAATTTGTATTTATTTTTTATACCAAATTTATTGAGTCACAGATATACAATGTGTTGAAAATTTTTGCCTAATTCACAAAAATAACTAATTTCTCTGGCTGAATCCCTCTATGGCGCACGTTTCCCTGTCCCTTCACTTTTGTTCAGGGATTCTAAAGTGTATTTAATAAGAGCACAATTTTAGAGAGAGCTGAATGGCTCCCTCATACTGTGAGAGTTATTTGGACCTTATGACTGAAACACTTATAGTATACATAGTTTTATAGGCTGAAAAGAGGCTCACATCCATTACATTTAGCCTTTTTTACATCTATTTTTGCTGTTGATCCATAAGAAGGCAAAAAACTCAGTTTGAAGCATTTCGATATTTTGTAACAAACTAGGGGAAAAGTTCTTCTCGACCCCAGAATGGTAGTCAGATCTCTTCTTGGATCAAGAAGCTGTTACGACACAAATAAAAAAAAAATATATATATATATATATATATATATATAGACATAAAACAAAAAGAAGCCTTGCACTCCTACCAAAATAAACTTGAGACCTGGTGCTAGATTGCACAATAAATACAAAACCAATGAAGAATCAGCACTCTCAGGATTTTTGAATAAGTAAAAAAATACTTTACTCCATATATCGACGTTTCCTGTCCTGATGAAAGCTCCCAAGAGGAGCTGAAACGTCGATATATGGAGTAAAGTATTTTTTTACTTATTCAAAAATCCTGAGAGTGCTGATTCTTCATTGGTTTTGTATATATATATATATATATATACATATATGCAAATACAATGTCTTTGCAAGAATTAATTCAGTTGCTGTTTAATATCTGTGCAGACTCACATACATACATACAACAAGGGCCTGTAGAAATACACTTCTAGGCTACTACAATTTACAGTTGAGTGCAAAAACGGAAATCAATGTCTTACGAGCATGAAGCTTTATTTATGACATGCACTGACTACTCATACAGCACGTGCATGGAAACTGATATTTCTTCTGTTTAGGAACACTCCAGTATTAGAAACATTATAGTGCTGGTCTGCGTGTTTAGTTGACAAGAACCCATCAGAATGGAGTTAAAAGGTATTTAACTTACCTTTGGGTGACTGTATGTGCGAATGTGTGTATGTGACTTTGAGTTACTGTGTGTGGCTCTGCGTATGTGACTTTGGGCGACTGTGTGTGTGGCTGTGCGCATGTGAATTTGCATGACTGTGTGTGGCTCTGTGTACGTAGCTTTGGGTGACTCTGTGTATGTGACTTTGGGTGACTGTATTTGTGTGACTATGTGCATGTGACTGTGAAGATCAATGTGTGACTGTGTTTGTGACTATTTGTTTTTTGTATATTACTCTGTGCTTGTAACGTTATGGGATTGCATATGTGTGTGACTATGTCAGGTGTAAAGTAGCCACTCCCAGGCCATGGATATTGTTGCAGAACCTGACATGACTGTGGATGAAAAAAGTAAAATTAAGTATTTTACGTGAAAGATGAAAAGATAACACCACTAATTATATATGATCTTAAAGGGACACTCTAAACAGCAAACAGCTTTTACCTTAATGAAGCAGTTTTGGTGTATAGAGCATGCATTTGCAATCTCACTGCTCAATTCTCTGACATTTAGGAGTTAAATCATGTTGTTTTTACAGTCCTAGTCACAACTATGACTCACAGTCTCCCTACACAATTCCTGAAAAAGAGTCTACATTTTTCAGCTTCCTTTATTACACAGTGTCTTTCATTTGGAATATCTTATCTCATGCTCTGTTAATAGCCTTCTAGATCCTTCAACAGTCTCCTGGGAGTGACTAAAGTTCAATTAGCAGAGCAGGAAAAATGTTATCCTTTTTATGTACACTGTGTAAGTTACAACTAGGGGAGGTGTGGCTAGGGCTGCATAAACAAACTAATTTAACTCACAAATAGCCAAGAACTGAGCAGCGAGACTGCACAGGCATGATCTATACACCAAAACCACTTAATTAAGCTGAAGCGTTTTTGGTGCTTAGAGTATTCCTTAAACAAAATGAGCATTGGGTGTTATATGAGGTTCAAGCAGGAGACATTTCATACAAATCATGTGGTATTATGATAACATAAAACAAAGTTATGTGTTTTCTGTGGGGGGCATAAGTAAGAGAAAGGTCTAGCACAATGGATGTTAAATCTTAATGAAGTGGTTTTGGAGCAAAAACCCTGTCTCATTTTTTTCTGAGAAACAGCAATGTTTACGTTTGTCTGAAACCACACCTTTAGAGGCTTTGAGACTGACAGCCACTATAGAGTAACAGCTTCAATTACTGAAGGTTTTTATTATCTGCGTCATCAAGCCCAAAATGAGATACTGAATGACCTTAATGGATTCATGAGAAGATTCTGATTAGCGGGGCACCATGATTGCCACATCTGCCATTGATCATCAATACCTCCCTACGAGAAGTATTGGAATGGACAAACGTCATCAAGCATGCTCATCTCATAGTAGACAGACTGCCTTCCACTGGATTATTGATGAGATTCACCGATTTTTCTTCAATTTATTTTTAATAGTAAAAGAGAAGGGGGCGGGCTCCAAATCTAATACAATAAAGGAACATAATATGGTTAAATATATTGATTTAGAACCTTATAATGTTACTTTAAATAGTGAGGATGAGCTCAATGCACTTACCTATTTCTAACTTGCCCTAGATGCCACCAACAAAGCCTACAACGAAGATGGCTTGTACAACTGAAGTGCTTCTGTCATGGAAGTCATAGCATAAGTACCACAACTTCTATTCCCAGCCTGTGTGTAGTCTTTTTACGTTCATTTGTAACAAAAAGTGGCTGGGGAACATTTAACACAACCAGACATTCTATGATACAAAATCCCTAATGACATCCACAAGTCCCATAATATACTTGCATATTGGTGCTGTGCAAACACTATACTTGTGGCCGGCCTCTGCTCCTCCATTAAGGCACCTTCTCCTCTCATTGTCTGAACCTGAGGCCTGTGAGTATACCATGACTAGAGTAGGGAGACAATTGCAGGTGAATTGCAAAAGTAAGGTGTCCAATTTTTTTACTGTCTGATTGTATTTGCTATGGCAACAACTTAGAAAGTGCACATTTTAGTACTTTACATAACACATTAATAAGCAGATGGTGAAATGTGTATTGTATCTGTTGGAACAGGCATTACTAGTGGTAGTCTGAAAAATAAATACCAGAAGGTTGGAAACCTGCCGGTATTTTTGGCAACGAGTATCTACCAGCTGTTGTTAATTCCAACGGCTCAAAGTAGATATTTAGCAACCACGTTAGAAAAGATTCCTGAGTGTCTTGCACATTAGATCTACAATTACAATTTTTAAGATAGCGCCAACATCCACAGCACTGCACTATAGGTAAACAAGGCAAACATTTAACTCTAACATAACATGTATAAGATTCAGTAGGTGAAGAGGGCCTTACCCAAAAGAGCTTGCAATCTAAAGGCTAGAACTGCTTCACATTTTGTTACAGCAAAGCATCACTTAAATAGAACGTATAAATATGTAACTAGTCTTCAGGAAGAATTATTGCCGGCTAATACTTTATCAAACGAACATGTAAAACATTGAATTAAAAAATCACAGACAGACACGCAAACAAACAAAAAAAAATATAGAGAGGTTGTTTCTAGAAATCTGAGACAGCTGGCAGTCATAAGTTTATAGATTTTTTTTTTTGGTCCAAAGCTTTAAAAATTGACTGTGATTATGTGTTTATTCACCTGTAAATCCCACCATTTCATGTTCACCTTTGTTCTCGATGTTTTTCAGGACATTCTAAATGATATCAGCAAATTCAATAGATTAGACAGAAGACATTGATGCTGCAGGTGCTTAGGCCTTATTTTCCATCTGTTCTTTGCTCACCTAAGCTATTCTCCACGTTTGGTCTTTTCACTCATAAAAGATCAAAACATCTGTCCAGTAGTTGAAGATAAAAGAGGCCCCTTTTTATTTCAGACCCTAGCACCCCTTTAGTGCTGTCAATGCTAAAAGCATACATGGTACACAGACTAGCAAATAGGACCAACACAGAGAATTGTTCGATGTCAAAGAGCGGCCTTTGCTTTCGGTAAAATAAACAGGAACGAAATAATCAGTGACTGCGTCTGCTTCTGAACTTTGTCTTCTATTCAAAATACTCAATACACTGAAAAAAAAAATGAAAACAGAGAATTGGAAATCGTTGTACTCGTATTGTTGCACTGGAGCCAAATACACAGTTAATTTCATGTACTTAGTTATATGATATACATTTTCTGAAAAGATCACAGATCATATAACAGTAGGTATTGACTCTAAAAGATGAGTATATGAATATATTATTCGGAATAAACGGTGATGCCTTGCGATCAAAAGAAATTAACCATTGTGTGTTATGACAAAGGGGATGTGGATGTAACTGCTGGTTAATAAATTAAATTGTGAAAGGAGAGGAAAAAAAATATTTAGAAGAAAAAAAGTTGTTTTTTTTCTCATTCTGTAGAGGAGTAATATGCGCAAAATAAAATATGGAGTTTTAAAGTACAATAGGGAGACAAGTCTGCAGACAAACACTGGTTAATATATTCAGAGATTAGGAAGTATTATGGGATGTAGGGAATATTACCAGGAAATCATTTGAAAGAAATAGTTGTGGATACAGGGATTAAGCTTTAGGCAGAGGTGGTAGGTGCTAATATTGTTATATAAATACCTAGGTAGTAGTTATTTACAAAACATAGTCACAGACAGACACAGATTTCCCCAGCGTACAATGACTAGTTCAATGTCCATAACACACTAATTGTATCTGTGTTGTAATTGCATTTGCATCGCAATATTAAACATAGCACAGAAAGGAAAAAGCCTGCTGAGGAATATGCTCATAGAATTCTAAAAAATGTTGCAGTTAGAAATAAAGGTTGATTGCTGCTTGTAGCAGTATTCAATAAACAGCAGCAGAACAGACCGATTGATGCAAACTCGGCATGATTGTTAAAGAGAATTGTAGGACTTCACCCAGTTTAAAAATATAGTGATACAATGTCAAATTTTATTGAATTCAATACTTTTTTTTTATAGTCAGACTACTAATAAATAAATACATTTCAAAATAAAAAAAACACTGAGAAAAGCTCATTTTTACATTAAAAATGCTTATCATTTCAACAGAAATATTGTACAATTTAATAAGCATGAAATATTATTTATTGATTTAGCAGTTACTGCTATAACATTATTTTTGACATTATAGAAACATTCCAAGTACCGTAACCACTACCGTAAAATTAAACCATAAATACTGTAAATGAATTCATTTTTGAAGATGAAGAGAAGTCTTTTACAATAATGGAGGATGGTGGTACTTAATGGTGCTATTTAATGTAGACGCATGGAGATAGAGGGGGGATTACTGCAGTACCCCAAAAAAATAAAAAAATAAAACATAACTCTGTGCTGATAGACTTGAACTCTGTTGCTCAAAGCAGGATCAAATCTAAGTACAGAGAATTAAGAGATCAAGGAGGCTAAATATGCACAAATAGTGCTATGTACAATTTATTTGAAGTTCCAAAAATAACTTTTAGGGACATTAGGACATTTTAGGCATTGATAAAGGGGAAACCCAAAAATTCAGTTTGGTTTTGGTCCACAAAATAAATTGTATATTGCACTTTTTGTGCAAATTTAGCATCCAGTTTCACCTTCTTGACTTCTCCATTTTCTGTACTCGGTGCTATTTAATGAATGAAAAGTGCTTAACTTTAATGATGATGTGTTGAATTTAAATATATAGATATATATATAGATATATGTCGCTAAAACTGATTTTAATTTATGTATATTGTCCTGTTAATGCTCAACAAGCACAGAGAAGACCATATTTGTCTGCTGTTGTGTAGAAATAGCACAGTCCTCTGGGTAAGTGTCAGACAGATGTAAAATGATTCTTACGGGGGATCAGTACTGGAATATTCCTGGCATTATACCCACCGCAGTAGGCTGTAGTTGCAATGTTGCTGTAGTGGCTATGATGCTTGGAGAACCGTGGGGCATTGTGGGATCAGAGTTTGTTGATGGAAGTTGTTGATTGACTAAGTTATTTGGAAGGGAATGTGGGAATCTATATTAGAAGGTAGGGGAATTTTGCAAAACAATGTTACCAGTAAAGGAAGCACTTTATAAACAGTGCAAGAATGTGTCACAGTAATTTCATTTGGCCAAACAGATCTTAGGCATCTTTTTAATTTACCGTTATTGTCAGCAAAAAGTAAGGACTGGGTTCTCTTGTAGAATAAGTGTTTACTAAATAGCAATATTCCAAACTTCGATGGTGGAATTGGCATTCAGTAAGCATTGTTAGTCTGCTAGGAGAATACAACGCTATCAGTAATATTTCAACAGATGAAATACTGCATCTTAGCACTAAGTCAGCTGTTTAATGTGCATTACTTTAGTTTAAATTCAAATAGAGTTTTGGTAATTTAATGTCTAGTAAACCCAAAAGCCTGGTTCTGACTTTTCTCTACAAGCAGTATCCGGCCTGCTTTACATGTCTGCTTTGGAGAATAATAAACATAAAATAGAGTTTGGTTAAAAATATTTCTCTTTATCTACAGTGCATCTCCCCCTTCCTTGTCTTAACCACTTAGCATTTTTCTGTCAAAGTATTCAATTCTTCTCAATGAACTGTATTACAACTTACTGAAAAGGGGGGTAATCGATCTCAAAATAACAGACTCCAGACACACAGACTAAAGTACTTTTTGTGTCTGAAGTGTTCCATTAAAATCTTAGGATACTTATTTTTTTTCTTTGAAATAAATAAACTTTGATTTTCACTCTGTCGTACAGTATTTTGAACTTGTGTAGTACTAAGACAATTACAATCTTACATTTTCTTTTAAAGGTCTGATCAATTCAATACATTAAAATTGTATCAGTTACCTGCCAAGCGCAAACATATTTATAGATGGCTAATAATAAATACAGGTATTATGATGTTTTGGAAAAAAAAAATCATGCCAATTTAATATTTAAAGGATAAAAAGGGGTTGTGTAACATAAACATAGCAATTAAGGCACTGGCTCTAATTACGGGTATTTAATAGTATGTTATGTAATTGGGACACACCTTCAGCCATACGGTACATATTATAGCTTCCATTGTTTGAGCAGAGATAATTAACATGCCCTAATCATTTTTCTGCTATTTCACGGTACCCCATCTGTTTCCTTACAGAGATCTCAATGTCAGTAGCATTAAAATTGACATAGGGAAACTTTGCATAACATGTATTTAGACATCTTTAAAAAAAGACACAGCTCAAGGACTTCTGGATATGGAGACTAAAACATTTTGGAAAATAATCTCACATTTCATAGTCGTGTAATATGTTTATAGGCATGAATAGGCATGAATGTGCACAAAAAAATAAGGGGTTCATAAAAAACAAAAAACAAAAGATTAAAGGGTTACTTCAAGCACCATAACTACTACAGTCACTATAGTGGTTTTGATACCATAAGTACCCTGACCAGTCCCATGGTAATGGGGCAAACCATTTAATAATGCCTTGCCCTCGTATGTGAGTACCTGGTGGCTCCTTCAATGTCTGGTGACGCGATTTCAGCATATGCTGAGCTGCAGAAGTTGGAAGCCGTTGCAGTTACCATTTATTAACTGAGAGCATCAGCTGACCTCTCTTAGCCAATAAATGGCACAAAATAAATTGCACAGAATTGGAATAATTGGCCAGCCCAGAACTCCTGTTCCAAGCTAGCTAATGATGCCCCTACGACACTGCCGGTGGTGGACATACTGACTTTGCTGCACGTACAGACTCAGACTTCATGACCACTTATAATCACTGAAGTGGTCATGGTACTTTAACCTTCTAACTAAGCTGTATCATCAAAAAGAAGATAGTGTGTTGGGAAGGGGGTTCACAAAAACAGGACTATACAAAATAAGGTAGAACACTGCAGCACTTGTGCTTTTCATCCCTAAAGTTGACATTGGTAGTGAGTTTAATATCAAATTTGGTACCTTGTGTGAATTCTTAAAGGAATCATTATCAAAAATAATGTTATTAATTTACCTTCAAAATCGTGAAAAAAAAAATCCCTTGAAAAAATCATCAAGATCACTAATGTAAAAATAAATATAGAAAACAAATTAAACTATAAATCCTTCCAATTAGAGACTGGAGTCATTAACTGATGATTTTACAATCCAGCTTAAAGGATTGTAAAATCAAACTCATTTTCCTGGCACTATAGGGTTATAAGGTCTTCCTCCCTTGGAGCCCCCCTCTCACTGGGATGAAGGGGTTAAAACCCCTTCAGCCACTTACCTTAATCCAACGCCGGGCTCCCTCGGCACTGGTGACGTCTCCTCCCCCTGCCGACGTCAGCTCCGAATGCGCGGGCCAGAGCTGCACACGCATTCAAACCACCCATAGGAAAGCATTACTCAGTGCTTTCCTATGGACGTCCAGCGTGAGTTCAATGCGATTAAACAAAACAAAAAATGTGGGTATACTTTCCCTTTAAGCTTTAGAATTCTTCAGGGAAAATGTCTAAGGTACAAAAATTATCTGATACATGAGATCCGAGTCAATAGGCTGTCTCCTGACACCAGTAAAACATCTGTCAACATTATTTTATGACGATACTTATAAACTGAGTTTTATAATTTATTTTAGCAAAAGCAACTTTCAGATAAAGATAAAAAAAATACATACTTTTTGTTCAGTTGCTTGTTGTATTCTATTGAAAATCAGATACCTTAAAACAACTGAAGTATGTCATTTTTTTCTACTGACTTTGGATATATTGTTTTCTGTTTAGTTTATTATTACTTTAAAATATCTCTGAAACACGGCAGAGAATAAAACTGAGAATTTAGAGATTTTAGAAAATAACAGCTATCAAACAGCAGAATACAACAGATATAAAGTTAATAAATTAATAATATATAAATGCCACTCTATATACTGTGTACGACAATTTACTAAACTAGTGGGTGTACTCCATTGGTAACTCATTCATTCCTGTGTTAATGATTCTTGCAAAAAAAATTTTTGCAGACTCAAACGGTTATTCCAACCACCATGACCAATTCGGTGATCATGATGGTAGGAGACAGTATGTCAAAGATTAACAAAGTACAAAATGCATTGTGCACAGGCCTACCAACTGTCCTGATTTTGTCAGGAAAGTCCTTGTTATCAGGGAACTGTCCTTACGTGTGGAAACAAACAGGACTTTACATAGGACACGAGGTCATGCGTTTAGACTGGAAGAAAGAAGATTTTGTCTAAGGCAAAGGAAATGTTTTTTTACTGTAAGAACAATAAGGATATGGAATTTTCTGACTGAAGAAGTGGTTTTACAGAGTCCGTACATATGTATAAACAGTAACTAGATGCATACTTGCAAAAACTGAATATTCAAGGATATAATTTTTCTATGTAGGGTAAATGCTTCTTGATCCAATGATTAATCTGTCTGCCAATCTGGGGTCAAGAGGGAATTTTTTTTCCTAGTTTGTTGCAAAATTGGAAGTGCTTCAAACTGTTTTTTTTTTTTTCACTTCTTTTGGATCAACAGCAAAAAACAAATTTGTGGAAGGCTGAGCTTGGACACACGTCTCTCTTCAGCCTTTGTAACTATGTAACTATGTAACTATGTAACGTCATGGGAACTGTACCCAGAAAACGAAGAGCAAGCATTAGTCATAGCAATGATGGGAAATGGCACCAGTTATTATATGACACCCATCTGTGAGTTTTAAAATCCTTACTGTTGCTAAATCCATCCTCTATGTCAGTATCTAGTAATGCCTGTTGAAACTTGGTTTGGCTTTTAAGTAGGCAGAGAGCACTGGACTAGGTCACCCAGATACTAGAGGCCTGTGGCATTGTACTGGATATGCACAATAATATCCAGTAGAAACATAGAATCTGCCGTCACATTCTATGTTTCTATGTTTCTAATATCTGCAGACCACCACATTGTATACTTGCATATGCACAAAAATTCCAAAATGATACAGCCCAGGGGTCAAGTCCTGGGGAAAAAGGTGTGGGAACTTACCCAAGAACCACCTTCCCCCCACCCCCCAAAATAAATTATACACTCGTGTGGCGAACTTGCCCTCACCACAAGCTCCTAGAGGAGTCTGCTAGTTAGCTGCCTGCCTCAGGACTATGGACCCAGCTAAAAGGCTGGTAAAAGACATTGGTTCATGGGATTTCCTGGGAACCAAACCAACCCACAAACTGCGAACCACCTCTGAGCTTATTGACCCATGTTAACCACTCCTGACACTTCAATCAGAGTGGGTTCTAATTGTGCGGCTGGGTTCATACGAACAAACGTTACCAAGAAGCCAGATTGTGTGTTTGGTATTTTTTTCACAGGGAACTCAGGAAGTTAACCGGCCAAAAGCACAAAACACTCTGGAACTGTTTTGGGCATAGGACCATGTGTGCGGCTGGTAAGAACTTTCACGCGGTGGTGTTTCGGCTCTGTCTGTGGGATCTGAGCGCTTTTCGGATATGTTGGGTGTTCAGATCCAGGCTATCTGGGCATGTATAGACTGTGGGTGTTCCTATGTGGGGAATATGTGTTTTTATGGTTTTTCATATTTGTTACTGTTTAGTTGAATCACTATGACAATGCATTTTGTGGGTGTGTTTATGGGCATGTTTTGGGGAGTGATACTGTACCAGATTCTGTATAAATGTGAGCCATTTGGCTAGGAATAAACAGATCTACGTTACCCTTCACTCACTTGACTAGTGTTTGGGTGATACCCAGTGGTGTATCCTGGTTTTGTGCTGCCCTATGCAGGACAAAACTCAGGCGCCCCCTGCCCCCCGTGATTTTGGGTTAAAACTCAGCTAGGCCTGACAGATTCAACCCAGTTTAGACAGAGCAATTTGTCGTTTGTCTTACTGCCAGAAAGCACTGTTTAGTAGATTGCTCCCAGACTGCCAGGTTTTCACCGTGTAAGAATTGAGTCCCTACCTGATTTTATTTATCGTTTGTGTATAAATGTATTTTCCCTTTTTTCTTTTTGTTTGAAATGTTCTATTTTTATCACGCATATATTTATTAAAAGTTAAGTTTTAACTTCTCCAAGTCCCAAAGGAGGGGACTTTTTTTTCCATAAGGGCACTTTAATATTACTTGTCAGTATCTACTCGGCCACTTTAGAGGTGCCAACTCCCATAGGGACACTATACTTGATTACCCATGCCTCCTATATACTGTGCTTTAAGTTTAGACACATACAATCACACACACTGACAGACAGACTTACTGACAGACACACACTCACTGACAGACACGCACACACAAACACGCTCACTGACAGACACACACGCACACACTGAGTGACACACACTTACTGACACACACACACAAACGCTGACAGACACACTTTCTGACACACACACAAACACTGACAGACACACCTATTGATAGTAAGTGTGTGTGCATGAGTGTATGTGTCTATCAATAAGTGTATCTGTCATTTAATGTGTGTCTGTCAGTGTGTGTGTGTCAGTGAATGTGTCTGTCAGTGTTTGTGTGTCTGTCAGTAAGTGTGTGTGAGTGTATGTGTCTGACAGACACACAAACACTGACAGTCACACTGACAGACACACACACTGATAGAAACACACATTTACTGACAGACACACAAACACCGACAGACAGACACACTTACTGATAGACATACACACACACAACCTGACAGACACACACACTTACTTACAGACACACAGACAGACTGACAGTCACACTGACAGACACACACACGTACTGATAGACACCCTTATTGACACACACACACACTGACAGACACACGCTTACTGATAGACATACCCACACACACTGACAGACACACACTTTCTGACAGACAGACACACACGCACACTGACAGTCACACTGACAGACACAGACACACACTGACAGACACACACACTTACTGATAGACAACCTTATTGACACACATACACACACACTTACTTTCAGACACATACATATTTACACAGTCTTGAACACACTCACAAATTTATTGTATTGCGTGTTTCTCCTACCTTTAGGAGTCCTCAGAGTCCTCTCCCTGGGGTCCAGTGTCTTTTGATGCTCTTCCTTCTCCTCTCTCCTCCCTCACACTGTTTAGTGATGCAGGGCAGGGATTACGTCATATTCCATCTCCCAGCATCTCCCAGCATCACTGAGGGAGTAGGAAGATCATCAGCTCAGACAGCTCTCCTTTGCCGCCGCCTGACTCTGTCCTCACCCCAGCATGGTCCAGTATATTGCTGCAGAGTAGGCACCTGCCTCTGGGACAAGCAGGTGCCTACTCTGCATTGCTAAATAAGTGCCGCTCCGGGGGCGCCTTTAGGTGGATCGGTGCCATTAGGTAGATCTGCCCTAGCAGGTCCTGCAGGACTCCTGCTGTGAAAAAAGTGCAGGAACGCCGTTCCCACGCGTTCCTGCAGGACTCAAGCCCTGATACAGCCCCACCAAAGCCTACAAAATGTCAGGCTATACTGCAATATTATTCCAGTGTTCCAGCAAGTATCAAGCAATAATAAAAACATGAAAACAGCATTTACTAGCTTAATGAAATGTTGAAACCATGGAGGTTCTGAGTGTGTATCTCTGGCTCCCACCTCCTATCAGTGAAAGCTATAAAATTGGAATGTAGGGCTAAAGGAACACCACTTGCATGACTGGTGATGCCCAGAATCCTCTGTTCCACCTGGCTAGAGAGGGGGCTACTCTGAGAAGTGGCATGCCAGCTTGATGTGAATACAAGCCAAACTGACTAACAGTCTCTTAGCCAGCCCCATTCAAGAAGCACCAGGCAAACAGCGCCACTGCAGCACTTACTGCATGGTCCTAGAGATGTTAGCCAGGGCCGGACTGGCCCACCGGGATACCGGGAAACTTCCCGGTGGGCCGCGGCACCTGGGGGCTGCAGAGGTGTGTGCCACCGGGTGGCCGGTCCGGTGGCACACTCAGAGGGGGCCGGCCGCGTTCCACGCTGGTGCCGCCGGACCGGGTGGCAGCCTCGCCGGTCCGGCGGCACTTCTAATGCTGAGGACGGAGGAGCATGAAGGAAGAGGGAGGAGCATAAAGGAGGAGGGAGGAGCATGTCTCTGTACCATGCTCCCTCGCGGTTCCCACAATTCCCAGCACAGGATCCGCGAGGGAGCATGGTACAGAGACATGCTCCTCCCTCCTCCTTTATGCTCCTCCCTCCTCCTTTATGCTCCTCCGTCCTCAGCATTAGAAGTGCCGCCGGACCGGCGAGGCTGCCACCCGGTCCGGCGGCACCAGCGTGGAACGTGGCCGGCCCCCTCTGACTACTCTCAGGTAAATGGAGGGGATGGAGGGGGTAGCAATATAGAGACACAAGGGGTGTACATAGAGACAGAGGGGGTGTAACATAGAGACACAACAAAGGGGGTGTAATATAGAGACACAGAGGGGTAACATAGAGACACAGGGGAAATAGAGACACAGGGGAGTAACATAGAGACACAGAGAGGGGGGTAAATATAGGAGACACAGAGGGGTGTAAATATAGGAGACACAAGAGGGACACCTAAGCATATATATCAATAGGGGGGGTTATATAGAGACACAGAGGGGGTAATATAGAGACACAGAGGGGGTAACATAGAGACACAGAGGTAATACAGAGACACAGAGGGAAGCAACATAGAGACACAGGGGGTAACACAGAGACACAGAGGGGGGGCAACATAGAGACACAGAGGGGGTAATATAGAGACACAAGGGGGTTGTAACATAGAGACACCGGGGTGTAATATAGAGAAGGGGTAAATATAGAGGCACCCAAAACATAGAGACACAAGGTAACATAGAGACACAAGGGTGTAATATAGAGACAATACAAGTAATATAGAGACACAAGGGGCCAGGAATATAGAGACACCTGCAATATAGAGACATGGGGGGTAATATAGAGACACAAGGGGGGGTGTAATATAGAGACACAAGGGGGGGTAATATAGAGACACAAGGGGAAGGGGGAAAATAAAACAGAGATAGGGAAGAAAGAGACAGTGGGAGAATAGAGAGAGGCAGAGGGGGAGGGAGAGTGAGACACAAGGGGAGAAAGAGGGGGTTAGAGAGGGAGAGAGAGACAGGGAGAAGGGGGAAAAAGAGACAGAGGGGAAGAGAGAGATACACAAGGGGAGGGGGGAAAGAGGCAGAGGGGGAAGAGAGTGACTGGGAAGGAGAGGGGAGACATGGACACAGAGGAGCAGTGAGGGGGAGAAAGAAACATATATATATATATATATATGACTGGTGGATCCAGGGGGGGCAACGGGCAATTGCCCTTTCCCCCCCCCAGATGCTCTCCCCTGCTGGCCAATGCAAGGCTGGCACTGTCCAAGCACCATGTGCCTTTACGGACCGGAGGGGAGATCAGAGATCTCCCTCCCTGTTCTGGAGGCACCATGCAGGCAGCCGGCAGGGGAGGGAGGAAGAGAGGACCCGGGAGCTCAGCCTGCAGCTCCTCCGGGTCCTTCTTGCGCGAGTACAGAGCGCTGCCGCGGTTACAGTGGCAACGCTCCAGCTCTCGCGAGAGTGAACTCTAGCGCTGGAGCTACGGGCTAGAGTTCACTCTCACCACTGCGACCTCTAGCCCCATACACACACCTAGACCCCCCCCCATACACACATTGCCCCACACACACACACACACAGGCACCCAAACACACATTGCCCCACACACCCTACACACTGAACCTTTCACACAAACTGCACCCCTCACACATTGCACCACTGCTTCTATACCCTACTACAGCCCCATATCCCAGCAGACCTCAGGTAAGTTGTCAAACGGTTTGACTACTTACTCTGGGAGCGGGTCCCGGCACTCCTGGCACCAAACCACTACACAGAGCAGTAGTGGTTATTGTGCATGGATTATTTCTTTAAATCTATAAGTGCCCCTCCCAAGATCAGGCTCTGGAGCCGCCACTGGTGTGTGTGTGTGTGTATATATATATATAAATATATCATGTATATTAATGTGTGTATTAGTTATATATATATAATTATGCCTTTTATATTTACACATATATTAATGTACATATACATATATATATATACATATATGTATATATATATATATATATATATATATATATATATACGTAATACACAGAGAAATGTAATTGATATATACCATATGTAATGAGCAGATATTGGCCCAGTCTTGTTGCTAGGTGCATACTCCAACACAATAACATATTTAAAGTGAAGAGCGCACCCACAGGACTTCTAAATAAACAAGATACCGTCATTTTTTACAGTTGTGCCCTACATACATTCACCATTTCAGTCCCATCACCAAGCTTTTCTTAATATGTCAAGGTAGTTGGACTGAAACATTGGTTATATGCAAAGGCACGTCTGCTTAAAATAAATCTGCCTATATGTGCTTTTTTTCACGTTGGAGTAATAATTTTTAATCTTAAATTATCTTTTCTAATGCTGTATTTGCACACTATGCTGGCGCGACGCATTATGGGGCTGGTAAATAATTTTTTTCCAGGGCTGCTTTTAATTCCCAGTCCAGCCCTGATGTTAGCACAGTGCAAGTGCATATAACAATGTACTCTAGGTGTGCTGGTTTGAGTCCATATCCTGACGTCCCTCCCCTTGGGACACCAGGGAACTAAGTTTGGAAGGCCAGATCAGAGCTTACATTTGGGATAGTTCTCTCTCTGTTCTGCTCACAAACTTAAGGACACATGACATGTCATGATTCCCTTTTATTCCAGAAGTTTGATCCTTAAGGGGTTAAAGGGACACCCCAGTCACCAAAACTACTTCAACTCTTACCTCAAGGCATTAAACCGTTCTTGAATGGTTTATCCCAAAAGTTGCCTCCAGCAACAATGTCCACTCACCCCCAAAAGTACCTTTTCCAAGCCAGTTTAGTGAATGGGGAGTCACTGACTGACTGAAGGTGTCAAGTGATCACTCTCAGCCAATCATCAGTGCCCCTGCCCGACAGCACTCCGCCCTTCCTGTATCAGAAAATTCAGAAGCCAGATGCAGCTGGAGGCAACTTTAGGGTTAAACCGTTTGAGAACGGTTTATTCCCGTGAGGTCAGAGTGCCTCCAGTGGCCTCCTGGCATCATAACAACTTCACTTAGATGATGTTGTTTTGTTGCCTGGAGTGTCCCTTTAATCAATAATGCCAGTTTTTTAAACACTCTCCTCCCTATAGTTTCTTTAGGTTTTTTAGGCAGACTTTTTTCTCTTTCCAATTTTATGATTTATTTTATTCTCACTTTTAATGCTGGCACTTATTCTAAAAAATGTAATTTATTTATTGGTTATTATTTATTAATGAAGTATCAGGCCATTTAGCATTTTGCCATTGTCCTGTAATACATTGCATTGCTTTGCTCACAATCCTTTGTGCTCCCTGTTTTATTTTTATTTATTTTTATTTTCAATGCTATGGGAAAAATCATTCTGCAAAATAACTTGGGGTCCAAAACAACAAAAAAGTAGTATTCTGTGTCAAATACAATTCATAGGGCAGAAATGAATTCAATGATGCTTCACTGGAACATTTACAAAAATAGAAACGTATTTAGTAAAATATGAATACATTCTGCCAAGGACAAAAATGCAAATCCTAACAATCCCCAGTCCTAATTCATATCACAGTCATTCTATAGAGAGAAGAATAGAAAAAACATTGAGTAAATATTTTATATCTTATATTGTTACCTACCGATCCTACCTGTAATTTATAAAACACCATATAAACAAGAATATGTCCCAGTATGTCCCAATATTATAGGTAGCAAACAGAACATTCCGAACTTCAGAGTTTTATTGCGTGTGTTTTTAGTGCTCTCTGGTGGTTAAACGGCACAATATCCCAAAATGAAGGCAGTAGATAATTGTGGATTAGTGTTAACAAGCTAATAAAAATGATTAGGAATTATTCTACAGCAATTTCATTAAAAACAGGCAAAATGCCTTAAACAAAAAAAAATGGAAAAAAATGTTTTTTACACTTGAATGTTTTTTTTTAGTACTACATGTAACAGCCAAAAAACTCCTTAAAAAGTATATACGAACTTCTACTACACTATAGGTTTATCCCCATGTTTATAGTCAGAAAGCAGCTGGTTTTTCTGCAACTGAAATATTAAAGCAGGTTTCTTTTGTCAACACTTGAACTTTAAGGGACACTATAGGCACCCAGATCACTTCAGCTCATTAACCCCTTAAGGACCAAACTTCTGGAATAAAAGGGAATCATGGCATGTCACACATGTCATGTGCCCTTAAGGGGTTACAGTGGCTTTGGTACAGTGTCCCTATTGCACTTTGTGCTGCAATGCAAAACAATGCCTACTAGACAGCCACTAGGGGCGCTTCCAGAATCCAGCATCAGCTATTTCCCTATAGGAAAATATTGATTTAATGCTTCCCTAAGGGGAGTCCTAATGTGCACGCTGTACTCACCGTGCATGCGCATTAGCACCCCCTTGTAGAATGACGTTGGAGGAGGCGGAGTGACGTCGGAGGAGGCAGTGTTTTAAACCTTTATTCACGACAGTGGTAGACGGGGGAAACAGAGGGAGCTATAGTGCCAGGAGTACAGCTTTGTATTCCTGGAACCTTAGCACCCCTTTAATGTCTGCTTGAGACTCAAGTCCACTGATGCCAATCACCACTATTGGCATCAGTGGACTTTCTTTACTATGCGTAAAGAGAGGCTTTAGTGTTTAAATGAACTAATATAGAATGCATTGAGAGTTTGCAATCAATAACCATAGATCACGGTGGGGCCATGGCTCCAGGCGGCACTGTGACTAAGAAATGAGCTGTAAGGGCCCGGCCGCCTATCTGCATACACATATACCAAGTACCACTATATATACGTGCAGGTCCAAGCCCATGCTGGCTTACACAATGCAAAGGGAGTTTAATCGTTCATCTGGAGCAGCACCAGCTCCTCTTGTGCACCGCAAGTGTTGCCATGGGCTGCCATGTATAAATAGTATGAATAGTGCCAGTGAGTCTCTGGCAGTTAGGGCGAGTTGCAACATCTTTTGTGCTAAATTATAACAGAATAGCACAATAGCCTAAAACCTGTAAAATAAAGACATTGTATGCCCAAATAATGATTGCCTAGAATTACCAAATTTCAACACTTAATATGGAGTAATTTTATTCCTGGATTGCATATCTGCTTGTTTTA